ATGTAACTTCCAAGGAAAAATCTCTACGCCTTTAATTTCACTGCAAAAAATGGATGTTTTGGCAGATAGTTCCTGGCTGACTTTGCTGAGAACCTTAAAATGTTATAGAAATGTCAGCCACCTAATGTGCTGCACATGAGGCATGCACTGTAATTCACTGATAATATTATTACCAGCCAATTAGAGAGCAAGTATGTGACGGAGACCTTCATCTGTGTCTGTGCTGTGCAGATGGACACACGCTCTTGCGGGCTTGCCAATTCTGAATTGAACCCCCGGAGACTCCTCCGAGTGCTTTCACTGGGGACAATGAAAAGCTGGATTCCTTTCATAGTATGACGTGGGACCGCTATGATCTTCAGCTCTCCAGAGAATTCCTGGAAGTTGCCAAAACGACAGATAAAACTCTCTTTTATTCCATTCAGAAGGGAAATAACCTGAGATTCTCTACATACACCAGCAGAACTCTCAGTATACGCTCCAAAACTTTGTAGCTTTAAATTCAAGGTTAAGATGTTGGAACGTACACTGTTCAAAGGCCCTCTTGAACAAAAAGCTTCTAATACTGTAAAATCCTGAAAGCCTTAGGTTTGCCTCTTCCTGTGCTTGGTTCTCTCTACTGAGTGACTTGTAGTGGGTCTTGAAAGTCTGGAGGATGAATGAAGAAGAGGACAATCAGGGTGTTGACAGACTGCTTTAAAGACCTGAGCTCATTTGGGAAGTGAGTTACGCGGGTTCAACTCTATAAGCAGTTTCTAAAATCTCTGCTGCTCTTTTTTTTTCTCTTTAGTAAAATGATTTTTCCTATTAGAAAACTAAAACTGCCTATCTTTTGTTCCTCTAGTAAAACAGTTGGCTTTTGGTTAGTCTCATCCAGAACATATAATCAATAGGCATCTTATTTTAATTGCCTTACAGTCTTACTTAGGACAAAAAGATCTGAGCTTCTGCAAATTACTGATCTGTTCTCACCTAAATATCAGCACAGGAAGTAGACTGGAGAACCAGAAAGATACATTATGCTGCTTGGTGGTGGCTTCTTCCTGGATTTCAAAATGTTCTTGTTGTTGTTTTTTTCCTCTCAGGCATCAAATGTTTTGGTAAATCCCATCCGTGGCATCAAGGAGTGTCTGAGTTTAAACACGCTCCGCAGATTGGCCACCGATACCGATGCTCACCAGGCCTGCTGCAGATCTCCTGCCAGAATCCTCAGCACTAGTGCTCTTACAGCACCTTCTAGTGACTTACCTTTTTAACAGCCGAAATCGTGCTTCCCTGCAGAAAATCTCGAAGGCATGATGATAATCAAAATGTGCTGGCAAAGCCAAACGGCAGCTGGTATCAGTACGACTTTATATTGAGGTTGGGGAAATTCTTCATCTTTTCCCTTTCGCTGCAAGCTATCTGGATGCATCCGATGTGTGCGGACTAGAGAAGTGGTGAGCTGAAACTGTCAAAAGGATTGGCAACACTTTAAGAGCCACCCTTTTTAATAGACCCTCGGGGAACGTCTTGAACAATATTTGGTAGCAGTTTCTTTCTCCCTTCCCCTAGAAGTGACTGTCCTGCAGTGTCAAAGTGTGTAGGTGCACACACAGTATGCTCAGAGAGGGGAGAAACCACACACTTTAAAAAAGTATTTCAGTGGCGTTGACTAATCTACCAAAGTCAAGGGAAATTAGCACCGGCACAGAGGAGAAAGGTCAAAGCTGTCAATCTAGCATATTTGAGGAATAGCAATAGGCGTATACACTCATCTCTTAGCTTTATTCCTCTCCCAACTGCATGCATAGCGCCCCTTTCTCTTACCTTTTGTATTTTCCTCTTCCTTTCCTGGCTCCGAACGATGAAGTCTTTCGCTCCGCTACTGCCAATACTGATAAGCGGGAAACACCTTTTTGCTATCTGCAGCCCTTTAGGTCGACGGATTCAGGGGCTCGTGTGCTCTTCCGTGGGACATGAAAAGAGCTTTTGCTTTCATGCTCTAGTCAGAAGCTGCTTCCGCATCTCATTCATGGCTGCTCTGAGTTGCCAGGGTAGGAAACTCAAATCGCTGCCTCACCCCAGAGGTAACCAGAGATGTGGGTGCTAGGAATATTTTTTCTGCATCAGAAGTAGGGTATGCGGTGCAGCAACAAAGCAGGAGGCAATTTCACGCCTGCTCTGAGTACAGTAACATTCCTGTCTGCTGTAGTGTAAATGTTTGATCTGCTCTTCGTGTTTTAAGGTGTGGCATTGGCAGCTTCCCCCTGGCTGGGACATAAACAGGTTTATTGTTAGATATGCCCGCTGATACGCAGTTATTAACTCAGGCTTTTGGTTAAGTTGCATACTGTAGGTGTTTTTCAGGCACTTCTGGAAGAATTCTGATATAGAGAGGATTCAGACCTTAGCCGGCTGTAAACTTACGTAAGCTATTTTCATATTCACATTTCATATTTATTTACCCATTTAGATGTCCATTATTTAGAGTGCGGTGAAGCTTCCAGGGTAAGCCAGAGGCCAAAGTAATGGCCAGTGATCTTTCAGCAAAACACACTTGCAGAGTTTCACGGGTACTTCTGAGAGCTTCAGGGGTTCCCCTTTCAGGGTTATCCACAGAATTTAGAAATAAGGTACCTCTAATGCTAGTGAGGGATTCCTTTAAAAATTCTTACTTTAGGAGGAAGAGAACATTCTCCAGCATGAAGAAAAACAGGACATTCTTTTGCAGAGTGGTACAGCTTCTTGGAAGGACAAACAGCCTTCTGAAGTAAAGAATCCCATCAAGTATACCCATCAGGCTTGGAACTGACATGAAAATCCTTGCTTTGCCCAAAGTGTCCATTTTTAGGAATATGTAAATTATTACTTTTTGATAGCACGGGTCAAATTTCACTCCTGACTTCTGTCTTTGTGCTATCCACTTGTGCTGACATTTAACATGTATTGATTTTTAAATCTCAACCCAGAGGCTACTTCCATTTTTAATTGATCCTTTCCCTAATTGAAGCTGTGAAACTTGAAGTTGCACGCTCACATTTAAATCCGAAATTGTCTTCAGGTTACAGCTTCCAATGAACATGCAAGCAAGATCTCTGGAATTTCTCAGCCTGGTGTATACAAGTTTCTCTGTCCCTCCTCTGTCTGTACTGTAAGAAAGGTAAAAACAAATGACTCTCAGTCTTTCAAACACTGTAAAGCAAGACTTGCACAATCAGATTAAGCTGATAATTGGGAGGCTAAAGGAACTGTACTCAAGAACAGAGAAACTACATGAATTCGAGCATTTCAAGAAAATCATCATTACTTAAACTTCAGCAATAGGATGACAGAAACTGGAGAAAAATAAATGAAGTTCAAAAAGATGAGCAAAGTTTAACGGTAGATAAAGCCCACAGAACACTAATTCAAACCTCAGAAGAGGTTTTTGTTGTTTTTGAAAGGGATTTAAATAACTACTAGGGACTCTGGGATATGTGAAATAGCCTGCTCTGGCATTAAAAATATTTCTCCACTCTTCCTTGGCTGAGGCTTCAGACCAAGAGATGACTATTAGCATGCTATGGCCCTCATGTGCAGGTACCCACGCATGCATGCCAAGACTTATTATCTTCCTCTTAGGCACAGCTACAGGCACCTCTAGGAGAAATTATGATTGAAATGAGACTTAATGCTGATAAAGCATTTTAATCTGAAAGTTTGCTTGGAAAGTTCATGACTAGTGCAGGTCTCTCCACCAGCAACAGGCCAAGATACGTGTTATGGAAGGATTCTCCTTTGAAATCCTGAGGACACATCACTTAGCAGTGTACACGGATATAGGTCAGGCTTTGAAAAGCTTACTGCAGGCTTTTCTGTCATCAAGGCAGAGAGTTGTGTAGAAGCGTGATCTTCTTCAGGGCAGAGGAGTTGTGGCATTGCCTGGTGACTCTCGTGGAACGATGACTACCTCCAGCCCTGCAAGGGGGGAGTACCTGTCCATGGCTAACGGTCATATCTTTTTGCATCCTGGTATCTGCACAGGAATTGTTACTGAGGAAATGCCAGAGGAAGCAACCGAGATGGCTTTGGCAGCAAGAACTCAATGCAAATGCAGGGATTTTCTTCTCACAGTCCTCTGAGTAAATCACAGATGCTGCAAATGATTGACTGGAAAGAGTTGCCAAGGAAGAAGGCTTTTCAGAAGCTTTTGCTTCACTTTATATTTCCCAGCAAGGGAACGTTTTGCTGTGGCAGGTGAGAGCACTGGTTTTATACAACTGTAAATATTTAACAGTCTTCTAATCTGCCGTTAAGACTTTCTGTGCACAAGATGACCTACCTGCAGACCCATTTCTAAATGCCCAAATACTGTAAAGGATAGGTATTCCCAGAACCCTTCTGAGCTCTGTGCACATGGCTGTCTGCGTGTCTGTGCGGCTTCCAGCTTGCCCCTGGATAAAGTCTTGGAGAGAACTCCAGTTTCACTTTGGTTGTCTCCTTGTCATGGGAAGTGACTGACTGGGAGGTCACAGGGAGTCAGCATGGGAAGCTGTACTGGCAAAAGATTTTCAAGTTTTCTTATAGGAACATGCATTTGGTTCAAAGCAAAACAACTGCCCTTCTCAAATGTTTGTGCATGCCAAGGCATAGGACTTCTCTCCTTGTTTCAGCAAGCCGGGCTTACTGACCTTCTCTAAGTCCTCTGCAGTCCTATTTTATTTCTATGGTTAAATGGTTACTTCTGTCGATGTTTTCTGTACTTGTAATTTTACAAATTGGATTCCCATCTCCTTAAGGTCTTTTCTATGTAAATATTGTTCTCACATGTTATCAAGATTAGCAGGCATGCCTGTTTGAAAAAAAAAAACAATCACAGGTGGCTAGTGCTGTATATCTGTAGAATTCATTCTTCATATTAAAAGGTGAAAAGGAGTATTAACTCAGCAGCCCTTCCTGTTTTCCAAGAGTTACCAGGCATCCCATGATGTTAAAATACCACTTTTTTCCAGCCCTTAGTACTCCTTTTGAAAGCTGTTGCAAACAGACACATCTCTCTAAAGAGTTATTCTGCCAAGTTCTGAGTACAAATTGAGAGGATCTTAAGCTTAATAACTTCTGTAGGGGACAGGAGCTGCACTGGCAATAGAGCTGCTTTGGGGCAATAAAGTTCTGAATTTTGGAAGAGGACTTGCAAATCTATACACAACTGCAAAGGTTGGGTTGGTTCTCAGGTAATTTCTTAACACGAGGAAAACACTGCAGAGACCTCTCTGGAAAGAGATCTCTTCGCCTCTGTGTCTGATTCTCTTCCTTTTAGGCTAATGAACGAAGGGTACCTTTGTTCAGCAGCATAAAGTCTGTAGCTGCGTAAGAATGAGCTGAAAGAGAAGACAACTTACAAACTGTGGAATATTCACATTCCCATAATCAGTACTACATCTTTTTTTTTCTCTCTCTCCCCTCTAATAGAGTCGGAGGCACAGTAACATCTTTCCCAAAAGGATATTCTGAAGGATTCTCTCCTTTGTCTGTGAACTTCATAGCCGTGTTTCTATGATGTGGAAGAAGCTCCTATTGCATGAACTAAGAAGAAAGTCCTCAGCTCTTGATCAGCTGATAATATCACCAGTGTGGGATGCCGTCCAGCAGTAGTTTCTTATATTTATTCAGCTCATGGGGAAATTACTGCATCACTTTTTTTTTTTTGGGGGGGGGCTTTTGCATACTGGTTAGATTTGGGGCTGTTGACATGACTGATCTTAGCATTGCACAAGAAGGTGGGATCCTCTAAAAAGAGGATTAACATTTCTGGTTTTTTATTGGCTATATAGGCATGAGGACAGCTAGTTAATCCCTAAAAATACCATTGCATGTTTCTGGCCAAACTGCAGCTCTTTTGAAACATGACTCAAGACTGTATAGATGAGATCTACTTGATCTATAGCAAGTAGTGTTTCACTGATGAGTCCCAGGCCTAATTTTCAGCCTAATTTTTTTTGTTTGGTTGGTTTTTGAGTGATGATTAATGTAAGAAACCCTTGATCTGTGTTATTTTTATTAATGCCTTTGACTGAAATGTTAAGGTAAATGGTGTTTAGGAGCCTTAGGTAGTGATTCACCTCAATACAGCTGAATAATGCATCGTTTTGCTGGAGTTTCCAGTTGAGGCACTTAGCGACGGTATGTCTGGAATCTCTCCCTCCCTCTGCACAGCAAATACCGGGCTCTGAGGGTTTGAAGGACAAATAATTCCCTTCCTCACCCTTGTCTGTAACCTGCCAAATACAGTACATCCATTGTGCTTGATAAAGGACCCAGGCTGACAATGGCACGTTTGTTAACTGGGTACTCTACATCACCCTTTTTTTCCAGAAATGGTCAAATTCAGGTAGGCCTGCTGTGCTGTGCTATCTGTGAACGAAGTCTGGGAGGATTTTTTGATTGCTAAGTACAAAGCCAAACTGGAGTTCTTTGATCAGCAAAATCTTGCTGCCATGGAGACACTTTCATCCCGGGGACAACTGTCAGCTTTCCCGACCAGAGTACCCTGCACGGTGTGGGAGAGCAAGCCGAAGCTCCTTGCTTTGGTCATATGCTCCACATGCTTGCAGTGAAAGTTTGATATAGTGAGAACTGGGGGAGACACAGTGCTCGCATACCCAGACATCTCTTCTTTAGTGTGGCAAAACGATGGAGCTGAAAGAAAAAAACACGAGCAGTCTAACATTCCTTGACAATATTGTAATAGGGAGGCTCAAACCCTTAATGATACCTCAGATAATTGCTGCAGGTGTCATCTGAGATTCCCGTATGTGCGATAGCGTATACTTTGCCTCAGTGGGCCTGAGATGACTCTGTACCACCACGGCTGTTCAGGAGAGTCCCGCAGACTTCAGCAGTGCTGTCCGCTCTTTTATGCATGTGTCCTTAACACCGAGCAGGTTGGCACTCTCTGCCAGCACCGCTTGGTGCCCTGAGCAACAGCAGCGCCGTGCACAGAGGCCTCTGATGGCCGATGTACAAGCTTGAGGGGAAGAAAGAATAGCAATTCTTCCACAGGAGGCCACCAAAAACGTCCTCAGCTTCAAAAATCGGCTTTATTGTGCCACTAACAGACTTAGATGAACTGAAGATGACATGACACTTCTGCCTTCCCAATTTCTGAGTGCGAGATTTCAGCATGACTCACTTTTGCAAG